ATCCTTTTTAGGGGAAGAAACTTAATAAGCCCGCCCTCTCTATTAAGTCCCCCTAACCCCTTAATTATTCTTCACTAATAAATGATAGATTGTATTAATCAATCACGAATGTAAAACTTCGTGTGGGCTGATCCGGGATGGTTTATTTACCAACTGGAAGTTCGGATTTGATTCTGATCCTCGGCTGCATAACCTCCAACCTTCTTGTACTTGAAATGTTCCACTTTGTATTCTAGTTCCTTATGGAGAAGCCTCCCCTCTCAAATAAGTCCCCGTCTCTATTAAGCCCCTCCTCAAATGGGCTTCAAATAAATAAGCCCCCTAAGGGGCTTAATATAGGATTTACAGTACTTCATTCAGCGAACATCGTGGGAAACAAACTTGAATGTGACTGTTTTTTTCTCGGAATGTTTAACACCACGATTACTGCACCGCAAGAGAAATACCGCAGAGAATGTAATTGTAAGCACGACTTAGCTGTTTACCTGCAGTGGACAACCAGAGGAGATTTACAATCCTTGTGCTTGGCTCGAACCTTTGTCCTCAAACCAAGAACAGCGGTGGCATGTCGAGGAACGCCTTTGTCAGGCCAGACAAGGAAATGAAATTGCTGAACTTGGCGTGTTTCCTTGGATCCACTCTGTGTGAAAATAATACAAGTGTCTTTACTCTTCTGTTAAAAGATGAAGGCCTTGCAATGGAAACGACTGAGAGTACCGCATTTCCTGGTTAGCAATACACTTAAATGAGCTATGCCACACTATTTACTATCTTTCTTTAAAGCTAAAGCGTTTCTTTGCATCAGTTAAATTCCACAAAATAATTGCCCAGTTTTGATATTTAAGACTGTATTTAGGCATTGAAACTGTTGTTGTCGTCTGTTGCCACAGATGGCAAGGATGGTAATTGATTGAAACTTGTTGTGGTCAGTGCTCTCTAATGATACCTTTTTTTTTCTTTATGATTCTACCGGAGTATTTTGTGTATGAGTAAGGGCACTAAGTAATGACTTCAGCACCGAATTAACCTATAACAGCAGTATAGAGCGGTTTTCATTTGAGTGTCGAAAAGTAATTGGTTTTGCACTTTCTACACGATGCGATTGGCTTAAAAGATTCGCGCCACCTTTTCATCCAATCAGAAGTAAAACCAAAGCCAATTGTGACGCGCTCACACGATTTTCCCGCGCTTTGCGTCAGCCACATGTAATTACTTCGAGTTTTGATTGGTTCAATGTATTGTCTGTGTCCTATGTGATTGGCCAGAGTAATTACTTTGGTTTTGGTTTTACGACACTCAAACGAAAACCACTCTATTCGAGACATGCGTTTTATACATGAGCCTCTGGCTCGGATGATCGGGGCAACCCCATCCCACGTATTGACGTTAATAAATTGATTGATTGATTGATTGACATGGCCACTTAAAGGCGCCGAGTCACGAAATTCAGCCTAATTAGGTAATTACAAAATGCCCGTTAAATTAAGAGAAACGTAAAAATAACCGCTTAAAACATTAAGGGAAGGTTAAATTAACACAACAGATACAACAGATGCCACGGATGGGCAAAACTGAAGAAGATTGAAACGGATTGAAATTAGGGTTTTTGAAAACTGTTCAGTCTAACACTAACAGTTTTTCAAAGTTGATCTCTGCTGTTTGCAACTTCAAAAATAATGCTCAGGAGACATATTTGTTTGTTTCGAATCTCTGATTTTGTCATTTTCATTTAATTTCTTTGCTTACTTTAACTTCCATAGCGACGGAGGGCGAGTAACTGGGAAAATTAAACAAAATGAACCGGACCGCCGTGACACAGCCACTTAAAGGTGTTTCCGCTTAAAAAGATTTCAGAAACGAATTCACCACGCTGAATTCAGTAAAAAGCTGCCCCTCTTTGCATGATTAAATATTAGAAACCCTTTCACCCATGAACAGACATATGGTGAGGTGATTTGCCTTTTGTATAATTATATTTTAAATCTGCGGACGAAATCATAAAGTGTTACCAAATGAATCCTCTTCGGTCGAACATTTGCATGATGTTATTTATTTCTCTAAGACCTTTCGAAAATGTAAAAGTAAAATATGCCACCCTATTTTTGTGAATAACTTTTGTAACTATGTAATTAAGTTGTATTCTTCTTCTTTTTTTCTGTATCCTAGTTTATATTGGGGTTTGTTTCGTAAAATCGCGCCGTCTCTCCTTCGTTAGTACGAAGGTTAAGCAATCACAACGACGACGACGACGACGACAACGTAAAAAAAATTGGTTTTACGAGCAAAACAACAGCTCTGCACGTGCATCCCGCTATTTAGTACATTTCTTTGACGTCCACTGCACGGCTACGCCGTAAAATCTCCTAATACCACGTTTCATTGAGGACCTGAACACACGATTATAAATTTTCCTTTCTCTTTTTGAACACGGATAAAGTCCTTACGAATTCAACTCCAGGAAAAATCGCCCACATTTGACAAATTGAGCGGGTTCAACCAGACGCGATAGAGTTTGAAAGGACGCAAATTCATTTTTTAGGGACGTTTTCACTGGCGTCGACGTCGTTGCTTAAGCTTCCTATTTATGTCTACTTAAACTAATCTAAGGGGAGCCTGGACCCAATCTAAGCCCCAGGCTTCCAGTTCAGGCTTCCCCGTCACTATAACCTTTTCTATATTTTTCAGTATATGTAACCTGTAAAGTGACAAAAACACAACAATCAGTCAATCAAAATAAATTTGGAATTTTTGTGTACTTTGGCTTTTGACTACTACTGCTGAAGGCACATACCTTTGACAGAACAAATGTACGAATGGCGTAGTCAGCAAACTTCTCTGTTTTGTGATTGGAAACAGTTATTTCGTGGTAGGTCTCGGATTTATCTGGCCAATACTGGTGACATTTCGTCTGGAGCACATAGAGTAAAACAACAACAAAAGAAAACATTCAAATTTACTTAATATCTCAATAATGATGCGCTTTCAGGATAGGTGAATAAATCACATGGAAAAGGAAGTGTCAGGAATTTCTAGGAGATTTGCATTTTCCGAACTTCGGCCGGAAATTCTGAGGCAAACACGAATACTGATGGCACGTTTACGTCTACGTTATGAAGTAGCAACCATCAACGACTGTCACATACCTTATTAGGGATGCGTTTTTGGCTGAGAGGATAAACCATAATAGAAAAAGCAGTGTTAAAACTTTCTGCAAAAGGAGCTCGGGAAAATATTCGCTTAACATCTGCTACCGACGTTCAAATACATTTCTATCCAAGAATTGCTCTCATTTAAGGACAAAGGCCATTTAACACAAAGCTTTTTTTCATACTAAGTAGCTTTCAGAACGACGTTAAAACAAACTTAGTCTTACCCGACCATGCTCAACAAGCCTTGTCAACATGACAACAGTTGACACTTTTTCCTGCCAAATCATCCTCCAAAAGTCTTGGTAAGTCCCTGGCACTGGGCCTAGAATAAGTGACATTTCATTAAGTGTGGATCGTAACTTTGCAAACGCTTTGCATTGGAATACAACACTAAATCATTATTTTCGCACCACTTAAAAAAGCAAAGGCAGAAATTGTAAATTTCTCGCACTTGGTGGGTGGATAAAGTTAGTATCTTCGCCTCCGATTTGTTTATTGTATTCACTTCACTTTGTATACTGGTCCGCAGTCACTTTCAGAAATAAAAACTACAGAACAAAACTTGTTAGCTAGTCTCGGCAACATTTCAGGCCGAGATAGCGATAAACCTTGGGCTTACCCTGAATAGTTTCTTTAGAGACAAAAAACTTACCTTGGCAAGCGATGTAGGACTTCGGAGTTCCATCATAACCCTGTAATATAAAGCAATTAGAAAATGTTCAGAGGGTCAAATAGTGTCTGTCTCTAGCTAAAAGACAGAGAGTTCGTCTTGGATACTCTTACTAAGCAAGCCTCAAAAAACAAGACCGCAGGAATAAGACTGGAGCTGTTTTTGGAGCCTAACCCTGGCAGAAAATCAGAATACGTGATGCGCTTGATGTAATATTATACAGAGAAGGACACATCTCTTTGCAGCAATCCAGGGCCTTCTCCAGGGGGCTTACTTGGGTTAATTTTTGCTGAGTATGTGCCGCTGGCCTCTCAGAACCCCTATCCCATTTAAGTCTATTTTTTTTGGCCAATTATAGACACCATCTTAGTCAGTTTTGGGCGAATGTAATTTTCGCGATCCCAACTTCGTCACTTTCTGTTTATGCATCTACCTTATAAAGCCAAGCGTGCAAAGAAAGTAGTGTCCGATAGCCCTGGGCTAGTGGATTTTGCTATCGGGCCAGTGAATTCTGTTATTAACTTGCCCGATGGACAAGTGAAGTTTTTTTGAGGAATTCAAATTACAGAAGAACTGTGAAATCAATCTTTTCATGCTCATCAAAACGTTTTTGGGGCTAGTTGAAATGATGTTTGTGCTAGTCAATGTTAGCTTCAGCTTGCCCGAATGGCAAACTGTAAAAATGACTTTCTTTGCACCCTGAAAGCCTTTTGACTAGGTCTTACTGAAATGAATTGACACATTTGTTAAACTATAAATGCCGTAAAAATCTTCCCATTTAAATCCCTACCAACCTGAATTTTCTGACCCTTAAAATCCTGAAAATGTGCGACCCCATTGTGGTAACTCGATTGAAAATTACAACCCCATTATAGTCAACCCAGTCGGGAAAAAGTGACCCCATCCAGCGGCACATCTCCATTAGCCTATTATTAGGAAGTACCCTCCGCCCCCCGCCTGGGTCTTTCTCCCTCGATAGCCTTCCCTGGTTTACTTGTAACAGCGAGTGCAGGGACAGTGATCTGGGAATGAGCGCGGAAAGCGAGCAAAGTATGGGCATTGCGAGCACCTGGAGACAAGAAAGACTGACAACATTCGTCTGAGAAGTAGCATGAATAAACCAAATTCGACTTCATAATTTTTCTCCGGGAGAATAAAACAAAATAAGTGCATTCCCCCCGCCAAGTAAGAAGTTTAGGCTACGTCTGCTACTCGAAAGTTCACACGCCGGTACGAAAACCACATCGAATAGCGCGTTGGTTCACACATAAGAACGGCGAGGCAGCGCCGCGCCGATCTTGAAAGTGGATCGTTGCACATCGGAAAAGGTTTTGGTTCCATTGTTTGTGATGGACCAGGGAGACGGTAAATGAGTAGGAGCGAGGACGAGAATCCGCTAATGTGGAAGTAAATATTAAGGAGTGAGGACTGGGATTTAGTGCACCAAACCCACTCGGCCAACCGCTCTGGCAGGATGCTTGATGTGTGTGAACGACTTGTTCAAGTTCTGGGCCGTCTCTGTTCAAACCAGGCCGGGATATTTTGCAAGTCGACATGATAAGCTATCCGGTATGGTGACAAATCTACACCGTCCCTCATCAATAACACTATCGTAACGATCTCTGAAGAAATTGCAGGCCACTGAGATGAGATGCTTTAGGAATCTGCTTAGCATCTCCTACAGAGACCACATCACTAACGATGCAGTCAGAATCAGGCAAGCCCATGGGCCTTACGATGATATGTTAACCACAGTAAAGAAACGTAAGTTAAAGTGGTTTGGGCATGTTTCAAGATCAGGAGGGTTTGTCAAGACAATTTTACAAGGAACAGTGCGAGGAAGGAGAAGAAGGGGCCGACAAAAGAAGCGTTGGGAGAATAATATCTCTGAGTGGGCAGGGTTGAGGTTTTGCAAAGCCCTAAGAGAAGCTGAAAACAAAATTAAATCTACACCGTCCCTCATCAACAACACTACCGTAACGATCTCTGAAGAAATTGCAGGCCACTGAGATGAGATGCTTTAGGAATCTGCTTGGCATCTCATGCAGAGACCACATCACTAACGACGCAGTCAGAGACAGAGTCAGGCAAGCCATTGGGCCCTACGATGACAATTTTACAAGCAACAGTGCAAGGAGGGAGAAGAAGGGGCCAACAAAAGAAACGTTGGGAGAATCATATCTCTGAGTGGGCAGGGTTGAGGTTTTGCAACGCCCTAAGAGAAGCTGAAAAAAAAAAATCAAATGGAGAAAAAGGGTTGCTATGTCCGTGGTACCCCAACGATCAACATGACTACGCGATAGGTGCAAGGTGCAAGGATCTCCATGAAAAACTCCGTGTAACTAAACCCATCTGATAATTGCTACAATACAAAATAAATACATACGTCCAGGTAATTAGCATTGATGTAGTCAGAGTGCTTGACATCATCAATTAATGGCAACGGTACACGGGAATGGTCATCTAAAGACAAAAACAAAACAACAAAACAACAAAACAGACAAAATAAGAAAAAGAATTTTGCAAAATGCATGTTACAAGTTCTATCTACTAAAAAAAAAAATAAGACTTCAACTTGCAGGCAATGATGTTTCCATATCGATTTTTGTTCTTGTTGTCGGGTACTTTGGCAACGTCCCAGGAGTATTGTTGACCTGGACTGAGCATCTATGGTTAAAAGAGAAAAAAATGCTTCAATATAGTGTTAGTAGTATATGGAGACTGGTTTGTGCCTGTTAAGTGGGCCGTACCTTGTACTGTTTTGTAAATCCAGCGTTTTTATCTCTTTTTAAACTGGTTACATATTCGGAGAATCGGCTTATAGGAACTGGTTTGGGTTTTTCGTCAATCTCGTCTGGCACAGCGTTACCATATATTGGATCGCTGGTAGCTAGAGGCTCTTCAACTGAAAATTAAAAAA